TGTGTCACAATAAGATTTACCTGATCCCCTCACCAGGCTCTGCTGTATTCTAATGGTCCCTTCATCAGAAGTCAGTTTTCTACAGCCCTCTCCCTTTAAATTCCGTAAAACGACTACTGATGTCCCTCTGTTCCGCTGAAGCCATGTGACGCCCCCCCCCCAAACAAAAAGGAAATCCCCGGACTCCACCCTACTCAGGCGAAAAATTAAGACTGCTCCCAAATTTATTTTACCGTTTTCAGTTGAAAAGATGAATAATTTTCTAAGCTTGAAGACCCTATGTTTTAGTGTTTGAGTGAAGATTACATATTGGGCTGGGCAGCTAGTAATTCACAATGAATAGACTCAATTGCAAAATGATCCAGTGATCCAGTTTTATTTTTTATACTGGTGGCTATTTTGTTTATGTATATGTATATGCCGGCGGTCCAACATCAGGTATGCGCAATCAGTTCAATTTTGGGCAGCTAAGCGTCAATTCATCTCGCAAAATTTCTTAGCAAAACATAAGAAACGACTGCTGTCATGCATAGTTTTCGCGGAAAAATTGAAACGTTCATAGAAATCAATGAAAGGAAAAAAAAGAAGGGAAAAGTAAAACTCGAGAATTTACGAAGAAGAATCTTCTTAAATTACGGGTATCCTTTTGTTTTTAAAATTTTGTTTTGAGCTTTAACAAAAAATTATACTGACTCAATTGACTTAAGAGGTTGTTTGTAATTCCTGTTACACAAAGTCGTAACGACTTCCGGAAAGCATCTCATTTACCATTACAACGTTCACACAGGTACAAACGTTTGACCTTTGTCTATATTGCGTGTTTAACAAACACTTCAAGTTGCACCGCTCAAGTGCTAAGAAGGTAGCAGTTTTTTCGTCACGATACCTAGTACAACCTTCACAGTGGTCATTAAACCTGTCACCGATAAAAGCGCCTTAGTAACATTAATCCCAAATAGTCTGAAAGCAAAATAACTAGCCATCTGCACCCGGTTGATGAAGAAATCTAGCGACTCGACATTGAAATTCCCGAGAGGTCTCTCATCTGTTTGTACTATAGTGCGGTTGACCCATTCGCGGAACCTGTTGCACTGCAAGGTTACCGTAGCAGTCCAGTAGAGTGGCGACATGAAGAAGAAGAAGACCAGACAGGAGAAAAGCACCTCGCAGCCAGTGATGAGTCCGTTCATAAGGAGCAACTTCGGCGCAGGAAGAGGCTGGCTCCACGAACAGTTGTAAAACACTAACCTCATCACATCACCTTGACCTTCGCCTCCCAGAATTTGCCACAATTGAAAATTGACCAGCCAGTTGACAATAAAAGTGACGATATTAGCCAATAGCCACCATTTGATTGATTCGATTTCTTCGTTCATGAAATCGCAGAGTTCGTGATACTCGATAAGAGCCTCTCGAAGTCCTTCAGACCAGTTTTTCAACATGTCCTGGAGGTCGATGATCCTGATTTTGACAGCGGTGCACGATGCACTAAAAGCTAAGTTCATTGCTACACCTATTGCACCGCAGTAAATATACCCAAGGAAATAGATAAAGCCAATCTGAAGCCACGGAATGGGGCGAATCGACTGCGTGACATACAAGTGGATTAAAAGAACGAGATACGACAAAGTCAACATTGCAAACGTCACGATCACGATCAGGCATGTTCGGCAGAAATTCGCTCGTTCGATGGCCAAACTTATGTTCCTTCTCAGTCTTTTACGATGCTTGAACCCGTAATAGGCTCCGAAGTGATGCGATAGAGCAAGCCCCAAGAGTAACAAAATTGTCGGTAAGCCACTTGGTGAGGACATAATTGGGTTTTTCTGTACGCAGATCGCCAGAAAAGTTGGTGGCATCCATGTTATAACAACAATCACCAGAATAAAACTGCGCCCGAATTTTCTCCATCTGTCTCCTTGAACAAGACCCAAATACTGCATTACTTTGAAGATCTGTTTTGTTCTTGTCTCACGGAGGCCAGCACTCAAAGGTCCTCTTTCGGTTTCGATAGAAAATTTTTCCGGTAGGACATGGTTTAACTTCTGGTCTTCAGTCGAACCACTTTCACTACAAACAGTGTCCATGACAGGCAACGACAGAAATACTTGCTGATTATGTTCGTTTATATGTTCAATAGAAAAGGGGAAACGGAAGCAGAAACGGTAAAAATCCGTTTTTGTGGCCAATCGGGAGGCAAAAGGCGGAGCCACATAAGCGGGGAATTTTTAGAGCGCTTTCACGGATTTCAGTCGACTTCCGGTTACTCAAACCCTCACGCAATACGTGTCATACATTTGCTGCTATTCTATCCACAGTGACTCAAACTTCCCTCTTTCCAATTGTCTTCCGGTTATTTCCGTTCTAAAGTATTTTGCTCTCGATCATTAAACGAGCTCTGTAAAGTTAAGGAAGCTTCTTTTTCTTATTCAAAATACAGAAAAAATGCGAATTAACTAACCGTGTTGCTTTTCAGTTAATTTTTGTTTTTATTTTAATTTTAGTATTTCACTTTATCTTTGATACAATGTGTTTTATCATATTCGGCTGCAGGTATTTGCGGTGACGCAAATATCCTAACGTAAAAATCACCTCAAGTGTCTCCCAAAATTCAGAATAACATCTTAGAGATTATCTGAAAGGTCCTGCATATAATGACGAGGCCACAATAAAAAAAAAAAAAAGAAATTGAACAGTTGTCACCGATGCTCCAAAACATTGGACTGAGTTATTGCTAAATGCCGTATTTTAAAATATCCGTTAAGCTGTTCTGTGAAGTCAATTAAAGGATGTTTTTATTTTTTACTTTGCCAATTTGTAATTATGATACATCGGTATAAATAAAAAAGGAATGACATACAAATATACATACACATAAATGCAGCTCCAAACGGAACCAAGACTGTATATCGGTGACTGATAACCAAGACTGTATATCGGTGACTAATAACCAAGACTGTATATCGGTGACAGAGGTTTTGACAACTTGGGCGGAATTCATCATCACAGACCACAGTCAAGCTGGGGGTTGTTT